TTTGAAAAAGGCTTACGTGGCATTTTAAAACAAAACAAATAAAAAAAAAAAACAAAACAAAACCGGGAAAAGAATTGGAACCAATTGATCTCTTTCCCAAATTGCCTCCACCACAGCCGACCGAGAGAAAACGTGAAATCGCCCACCTCCATCTCCGACCAAGTTACCGGCGGCGACCATCTCACCTACCTGGCAGGTCACCCACATGCTGGCCAACTGACCTTCAGCCACCGCTTGCTGGATAGGCGCGACCGAAGCATCCCGTGCCGTCATCTGTCGCCGGTCCGTTATCCACCTCCTTCTCCGTCCATCTCCTTTCCCGTCCACCTCCATCCCAGTTTATCTCCTTCTCCGTCCACCTCCATCCCGATCATTCTTTTTTTTTTTTTTTGAAGAAGTGTCCAGAAGCTATTTTTGGTTTTGGGTAATGATCTATTGTTGTGTATGAATCCGACTTTTAGTTTGTACTGATAGTCATTTTCATTATTTGGAAGGCTATTGGAGTGAGAATTGGAGGCCAATTTATTCCTGCTGAAGCTGCACCAGTTAATGTTCAACAAGCTGTGGAATGATTTGTCCTGGAATCGTGCATTTTTCCTCCATGGCTTGTAATGGTGGAATTTTTTATGATAGCTGATTAGCCTGATTTATGGTGGAATGGTTTTGTTGATGTATTGGTGGAATGGTTTTTTTCCTGTAATGGTGGAATGGTTTTTTGGATGGTGATTAGTCTGCATTTGTTCCAGTAAGGAATGTTGTGGCCAATAAGGAATTCCAAGATTTGTCAAACATGTTTGCTCTACATTGCTGGTAGAAGAGGACATTTTGAGGAGTATGGGAAATGGAAGTAGTTAGTTGTTGATCGAGTCATTTGTTCAACGAGTTATTTGTATTTTGTTCGTTTGGTATTTGCTATCGAAGAATGGCTTTGTATTGATATCAAGAACTCTTTGTATGTTGTTATTTTGATATAGAATTGGCTTTGTATTGATATCAATCAGCATTAGTCTTTGACAGCCACCAATCTATGTTTGTGAATGCTAACTTGTTATATTGGACTATTGTTTATGAATTGGAAGGTTTTCACCAGACAAACTCCAATCATTATTTTGGGTTTTATTACCATTTCTCAACAGAAGTGCAGGAAAAAATGAAACAGATAACACCTTTTTAAACAAAGCAAAACACATGCACTTGAAATGTTTGCTCCATGATAAAAATCAGTACAATAATCTTCAAAAGCAGCAACATTGCATTACATTTCCCAAACTATAAGAATACCACATGACAGAAACTAGCCAAACTATAAGAATGCCAAAAAAGTTCACTACTAGTTACAGAACTTTTGCCCAAAAAATAACCTGTGTTCATATTTTGCCAATACAAAAATAAGGCATTTTTGAATAACTCGTGAATGTTGCTCAAAAGTGAGGTCAAGAAGCTTTTCATTGTCACTGATGTTGGCTACCACTGTCATCCTACAGTATGTAACATCCTAAATGAGATTGGGATCAAATTTAAGAAATTCACTGAAAATATATACCAAATTGAATTTAAAAAACACATACCAAAAAGAGTTGTGAAGAAGACAATGGTGTCATCGATGAACACTTTTGAGATGACTCAACATGTGGTACGGCATCTTCCATATTATTACCTCTACCTCTCGATCTCTTGCTTTTTCCTAAATTCGAAGTTTCCTGCATGTACATCGAAGATATAATGGGAATTTGTATTTGAACTCCATTTCAATTAATAGGTTAACATAATAATTACCTTTGCCGTCTTCGAAGTTGACTCCAACGGGCCTCTTCGGCGGAGTTTCCTTGGAGCACCCTTCCTTTTCGATGATAAGGGATCTAGTACGTTCAGTGATGAATTATTTCTAGAAATTGACCCATGTGAGATGATGTGAATGGGATTACCAGCACAACTCGACTTTATTAGTATGAGCTCCTTCGCCTGAGCTTTTATCCACTCCATTACCGCATGTGCCCGCACTTCATCATCCGCAGCAAGGTCAGCCACCTCCGAAAATGCCCTAAACATATCATCGTACCTCAACTGTGCAAGAGTACTGACCAAGCCATCATAATTCACTGGGACCCTCGTGTGTGCTCTACTAACATCCTTCATCCATCTCCGTAGTATAAACTTGTCAGGCAATACCGTGATATCATTACGGATCAAAACTGTGACTGCATGTCTACAAAGTATCCCTCGGAACTCGAATAAGTGGCAACTACAAAGAATGTCGCACGAGTCCCTCATAAATGAGAAGGTAAAAATCCTTTTCATCCGAAAATCTCCACACACTTTCACATCCTCTCGAACCTCGTGAATCGTCCCCGAACATGCCTCTGAAATAGATATGATGTCACAGTAAACCTTGCCAATGAACTCGTCCTGAACTTCCCTGAACTTTGAAATAGTGTATACTTTTTGAAATTGCTTTTCCATATCAAAATTTGTAACGCACGGTACCATTTGCGCGTATGACTTGAAATCAGCCTGAAACTCCTTCTCAACCCTATTCCTCAGTGCTCGTTCATATTGTTCAACAAATTGTTTCAAAGAGGTCTTTGAATGTACATATCCGTCGAAGAAGGCATTCATACTCTCACTTCGTTGCGTTGTGGAAATTCCAGCCCAGAATGTGGTTTTCAAAAAGCACGGAACCCAACGGCCTCTATTTTCAAACAATCCCGACAACCACGCATTATCGTGCAACTTGTACGTTTCAATCATCGCTCTCCAACCTTCTTCAAATTCTGCAACGATATGTGAATCATATACCAATCTATGTATCGTCGAAAAAATCGAAGCCTTATCAACATGATAACCAAACTTCTCAGGCAACTTCTTCAAGATATGCCACAAACACCACCTATGCTTCGTATGTGGAAATACAATCTGAATTGCATTCTGCATTGCCTTGTCTTGATCTGTAATTATTCCATGCGGTGCCTGACCTAGCATGCACTGCAGCCATGTCCGGAATAGCCACACAAATGTACTAGTGTCCTCATTAGATACTAAGCCACAACCTAGAAGTGTTGATTGCCCATGATGATTAACACCAACGAACGGGGCAAAAGGCATGTCATACTTATTGGTGAGGTATGTAGTATCAAAGGTGACAACATCACCGAACTCTTTGTATGCTTGCCTACACCTATTGTCTGCCCAGAATACATTCCTAAGTCGGGACTCCTCGTCTAAATCCATATTGAAGTAAAATCCCGAGCACCGTGCTTGCATATTCGAAAAATATGATTGTATTGCGGCAGCATCTCCTTCCCCAAGTCGTAATCGCCTTACTTGTTCAATGTAATTTCTACAATCCTTCTCCACGAAAGTCATCATCTCATAACCACCCGCTTCCACCACTGCAGAGTTGTAACTTTTGTGCAATGGAATTCCTGCCATATCATTCACTTCGAGCATCCGTTTCACATTTGGAGTCAATTCTCGATTGCATCGATACAACCTGGACTTCGTAGGACTCGTTCTATGATTGTGTTCCAGTTGGGCTGTGTTTACTCTCCATTTTCCATTGTTTAACAAAGACGCTGATATCCTTGCTTTACAATCTGTTTGACTTGTTGGTTGTTGCTTCAATGAATTGATTGTACCATAACTTCTTCTGCCCTCACGACTACAAGTGAACGTTACATATCTCACAACTCCATCTTCCCCCCTTTTCGAATTCCGTTTCCTTATTGGAAAACCCACTTGGAAAGCATATTTTTTGTAGTATTCGAACATTTCTTTTTCATCATCAAAAATCATTCCAACCTTAGGTATATTCACATCATCTCCTCCGACCTTCTCATTCATAACTACATTCGCAACATTCTCATTCTCATTCTGAGACTCAACCAACAAATCATGATGCTCCTCTTCCATAATTTTTGTTCCTGCGATGAAATAATCAATAAGCATTACAAAGACATTTGCGCATAACAAGATGTTGGTTTCATCACAGTTAGTTGATACCATATACATTCAGCTTCAAAATGTAAAAAACCCTATGAAGTTATCAAAAGCATCTGCACAAATCATTTAATAGGGTTTCATTTCTAAATTACAGGCCTATTTCATTTAAGAATGCCCTAGCTCTTTCAATTAGGTACGAGTTCAACTCCAGAACTTCTGAATTATCCTCGAAGCAAAATTTAAAACCTACAAAGATGCCAATACAAAAATAGGGGATATACTAATTAAGCAGAAAAAATGTGGACGGGGAAGGAGGTGGAGAACGGACCGGCGACAGATGACGGCACGGGATGCTTCGATCGCGCCTATCCAGCAAGCGGTGGCTGAAGGTCAGTTGGCCAGCATGTGGGTGACCTGCCAGGTAGGTGAGATGGTCGCCGCCGGTAACTTGGTCGAAGATGGAGGTGGGCGATTTCACGTTTTCTCTTGATCGGCTGTGGTGGAGGGAATTTGGGAAAGAGATCAATTGGTTCCAATTCTTTTCTCGATTTTGTTGTTGTTTTGTTTTTTTTGTTTTATTATTTGTTTTGTTTTAAAATGCCACGTAAGCCTTTTTCAAAAACCTGGCATTTTCCTGGGAAACTATACCTGTACTTCAAGACTAACTCTAAGCAAAAACACTAACAAACACGCCCTTAATGAAATTTATGCCAATGGGAAATTCATATAATATAATTCTCCCATTAACACAACAATAAGAAAAAGCTTCAACCAACCAACCCTTCTGAATTTCACAAAGAAACGCATTAGTTACTTGCTAGGATTAAATAAAGCCTAATAAACATACACTGCCATAGTGAACTATAACTGTTGCCTGCATATGTGGCAAAACATATAGAGAACACCGGGCAAAACCATTTTTCGTTGTTCAGAGAAACTAACATTAACTTCTTTACAAATTTGGTACAGTGCAAGATTCAAAAATTTGCAATAGTGGCTCTATTGTCAGTTTGCACCATACTATTCTTGCTCTTGTCAAAAAATTCTTCTAGCAGCCCGAATCAGTCCCTGGTATTGGTAGTAGCAACCGGGACTGAATTCCCAGAGACTCTTTTGCTTGTTTCTCGTGACACCTCTTCATCTTCTGAGTCTGGAACAGTAAGAGATTCGATAGCAGTATTAACTGAAGGTCGTTGTCTCAACCGGTTCTTTGCACGTAAGTTTAGCCCTTCTGAAACGGCAGGGACAGGAACTCCAGCTAGTCTCTTACTAGACCGAAACCCTTTAGGCCTAAGGACCGGAATTATTTTCTGCTTTGTTCCGTTCTTTTTGCTTCCATTCTTTTGATCATTATCTTCCTTTACACAATCATGCCCTTCATCGCCAGTGTCATCGTCATCATTTCCTTGATGATCGTTCATTTCACTGTCAGTTTCAGTCAATCCACTATCCCTCGAGTTAGTATCTGAATAGTAAGCTCCACTTGTCTTCCTTTTGCTAAAACAAAACAAAAAGGTGAGCATGCAAAAGATAAACCTTATTGGAAAGCAATAATCTGTTGTGTTGATAATTACGGTCATTAGTTTTGAAGTAAGAAGTCTCGAAGCAATGGAATTAAAGAGGGACAGAGAGGCATGTTTTGTAAATTGCACATGCTAATCTCAGCAGCCAAATGTGAATAATTAATGTATTTCCAATTTGCATTCAATAGACTCGATGAATTTTTTTTTTGTAGCTAACCAGATAAGGATGTGTTTCATGATCTTCGTTTTGCCAAGAGGAATTCAAATCCTTGTTCGAGTAAATTAGTTTGGTAAGATATTTGGAAATCACTACTTCTAACAACATTAGCTGGTTGAACTATGCAAAAGGAAAACATATAACCTAAATAAGGATAAGTTAAAGCAACCATTAACAATATTAATATTTAACTAAAATGCCACCCAAGAAAGAAAGATGTGTACTTACGGATAAGTATAAGAGACGAAAAGAAAAAAGAAAGCTGAAGTCAACGGTACTTACTTTGTATATATTATGGCCTCTTTAATGGCTCTATCATAATCATCTGCATTTCGGAAGAAGAGAAGTACTCTTAGTCATAGAATTAAAGAGATGCATTTCTACATGGCCGAATCCTCTAACAAAGAGTTTGCACCAATAACTTTGCTATATTCAGCTCTTCTTCATCTTTATGAAGAAATTTAATCTTGTCTCTGGCAGAACTTTTTAATTTTAAAGCTTACATTATATCAAATTCATTACTCTGAAACATCGCTCGTCAAGCTCATTTAAAGTACAGTGAATTGAATACTACATGAGCAAGACCTAGTTCACAATTTATGACACAAGAATGTGTACTAGAGCAATAGTCTTAGTACGTTAATATTCAGAACTTGTTCTGATAATGCTGCTTTTGTGTTTGACTGAATACCAGTATTGAATAATTTGATAGAAAGATCAAATGGATGGTATATAAACCCACTTTTTACCCTCTTTTACAAGAACTGATGAAATGGAAAAATGATCATGCACAACTTGTCATGAAGACTTTAAGTTTAAGATAAGGGAATTATGAGTTACAAATTATATGGACAAAGATATAGTGCCATACCAAAACTATAATTAATAGGCCTGAGATTACGGCAAGACCGAGTTATTCCAACAGTTCGAATACCATTCAGAAGCATCTGTTCTCTTTTCTGACGTTGCAGTGCCCTCTGTTTCTTCTGTCAAATGAGCAGCGTACCCACACTTAGTAAAAACAAAAGAAATTGTGAAATTATGAATTGACTCCTTAAAACCCCATGCTTAAAGTCACTAACAAGCAAAGTGGGAAAACAATAGCAAAAGAACTGTAAAGTGCTGACCTTCTGAAGTTTTTCAAGGACAGGAATGGCATTAGTTTCAACAGTCCTACTAACAGCAACTTCCCATTTAATGTCACTGGATGACAATTCATCCTATCATATATGGAAAAGGCAGAAACAAATGACATCCAGTCGCAAGGAATGATACAGGTAATAGTAAATGCTATCTTACCACAATCTTGCGGAACTCTTCAAGATTTGTTGCCAGGGTTTCCCACTGAGAGTCGATTGCTGGTACAGTATCCTTCGCTTTAACTCTTGGCTTGGATTCAAAAGTGTGAACTTCTTTGTATAGTCTATAGCCAATTGTTGCATTTCCATCATACCTGCAACCAAGAGAGCAGGAATTACACCAGAAATGAAGCTCACTGCAAAAATAGTGCACAGTACAAACAGTACTTACCAGAATGCAGTTCCATGTTCATCTCCAGCAAGCTTATCTTTTCGAAAAGTAGAAACTTCTGTACCACTTTTTATAGCCTCGTTGATATAGGACACAATATCATCTTGCTGTAAAAACAGTAAACAGGTTCAGAAACATCAAAGAGTAAAACAAAATTCAAAAACTGGCTTTTGAAATTTTTACAATGAAGTTCTTAACAAAATCTTAAGTTTGGAACTTGTCATTATCATTTGATAAATTAAGCCCCTGTTTGGTTTAAATAAAAATCGGATTTTAAGTAATTTTTATAAAAGTTGATAGAACGTGTGATTGAAAAGTTGTGGCTCTCGGTTGTAATTAATTGTTGACTTTGACTTAGTTTTAGTCTAAATTTTTAGCTGAACCAAAACAGAACTACTCCAAATGCAATTCACAAAGTTCCCATCATATATGAAATAGCAGTAACATCATAAGAAAAAGGGAAGTTTGGAAGGTATACGTCAGCTCGAACTTCACAAAGTGCTTTAAGAATAAGTAGACGAACTGTTGGATCAAGTTCTTTGTATATAGTTATCTCCTCTCTGAAATGTAAAGGCAGCAACAAAACAATATTTGGTCAGTTACAGTATACATGACATCAGGAATTATAAGATGAAGAGACGCCATACCCTTTGGCTCCATTTAAAGGAAAATCTCCCTTAGCAACCTGCAACAAAATGAAAGAGATGTGCAATAGTATCTTTTAATGCACAAAAAAATTCTTAGCAATTATAAGTTTGACCTACCCATGGCCACCACATCATAAGTTTCTTACTAAGACCAATCACCCAAGCATCAGGACTGTCGAGTGTTTTGCTCACCGGATGTATTCCCTAAAAAAATTAAGTCGCATCTTCAGGCTGATAAGAATAACAAGGAAAACGCATAATAAAACAAACAAAGATAATTAGACAAACATATAGTCAAAAAAGCCAGCAAGTTATCAATCTAATTTTATAATCTGAGAGAAAAAAATGTCTACAATATTTATACAATTTCAGGAAAAGTTCTCCAATCTTTCAAAACATGGCCCAATCATTTGTTAAGACTAATTGCAATACTAAACTTCTAAAAAAAATTAGCATCAATTCCATAAAATAGGTATCAGCCTACCGTTTAATGAAAATTAAAATTATTGTTGATTATGCCAACTGAACAGTTCTTAATAAATGTTCTTTTTTTTTTTTTTTTGAACTGCCAAATATTCACATTCAAACATGACATAACACTAAAAGCACAGATAACTGGCAATTCATTATTACTTAATTCCGAAAAAATTAAAAATCAAAAAGATAAAGAAAGTGAAATAAACTGGGAGTTCATGAGTAACAAAAGAAAGTGAAAATGAAACCTTCAAAAGTGATTTGTGAAGCTGACCAAGCATCTTGTTCTGCTCAATCAGCGCATGTTCTATCTCTTCAGCAGATACTTTTATATTGCTCTTGATCACTGGCTCAAAAACCTATAATTACATATCAAAGAACCTCAAACATTCACACTCAAGTAAAAGGATTAATATAATCACTATAAGATTCACAAAACAGAGACATCCGTCCAACAAACTTGCATATAACCGCATACATGTCTGTAAAATGTCATGAATGAAAATTCTATTTTCAGTCGACATCACGAAATATAACAAACGAGCCTAATCTACAATGCGGTTAATTCTTCCAATTTCTGTTTCCTAAACTAGTTATGGATATTTTATGTTACTATAACTAGTACATCAAACTGGCTAGATAAAAGCTTTTAAGCTGGGCCAGAATTGATTTAAATTTTAAACCCTTCTGTGTAACATTCTGACATTTCGATTTTCTCTGAATTCCCATCGCATAGAATACTGAAGAAATTTGTACGTTTAACGGTTTTTGCCAAAAATTTTAACCTTTCTCCAGTCGGTTATATTCACAAACATAGAAAAATAAATTCATGCATGCCCAAGCTCAGATGAGAATTACACGTAAACTGCAGAATAATTAAGAACGAAAACGAACGCATTTGAATTGAGGAAATTCCATAAAAATACATGAAAAGGACGGATATTACGTTGAGGAAATTGAGAACTGAGGCCAACTCCCCGCGCTGACGAAGCTTTTGCCGTGCTACCTCGACGTTCACCGCTGTGGGCGAAGACTCCGAGATGAGTGTTACGTCGTCGTTTAGCACATTTCCGCCGGCCATGGTATGTGTAGAGAGAATATTCAGAGCGAAGAAATGATTTGATATTTATGAACAAGTGAGATTAATGGGGGGGAACTCAATGGTTAAATGTGAATTTTTTTTAGTTTCCCGCCTAAATTCACAGTCCCGTCTTTATTTTAGGGATTCTTTTTTTAATTTGAAATGTTCATTTTGACATTATTTGGTGAAAATACTTTGGTGAGGATTAAAATTTCAAACAAGAGCCAATAATTAATTTTAACAATATATTTAAAGGGATTCAAAATTTTCAATCATATATTTCATCAATTTTTTTTCAAAAATTCACTAAAAATCTTATTTTAATATACGCCAAATAGTGGATAAGCCATGTTTGAGCTACTTTTTTTAAAATTTATTTTTTTTCTTAAATTCATTTTCAATAAAATAAATTTAAACGTAATTCTAAAAAACAAATTTACTTTTTAACTACATATTCTAATAAAAAAAAAATTAGAAAATTTATTCTTACAAAATGGAACTCAAATAAAGCAGGTGTTATTTTTAAAATTGCCCTTGTTTGACTAGTGCTTATAAATTGCTTATAGTTGATCAAATTATTTTTATCAACATATCTTGATCGATAGATTTATCAAAAATAATTTTTAATGAGTATATGTACGTCTAAAATGGTGGAACAAATAATTTGTGGTTTCCAATATATTTACCTTCATTATATTCTTCTTATAATTTAAAGTCAAACATTAATTATGCATTTATAACTATATTCATTTATTATCTGTACATTTTATAGGATCCGTAACTTATCTTCATTATAATATCATAATAATAACCCAAACAAAATGAATATTCTTCACTTCATTCTCCTTAACTCGAATTTTGATTTTTAATTAAAATCACATTTTTTTGGGGATTGAAAACTTCTTGTGTATAGGTTGAGGATGTGTTCACTATAAATGTTACACGTGAAAGACATTTGGGTATTATGTACATCAGGGTGTAAACTTTGTACATGTTCCACCAACCAATGATAAAATGTCATTCAGGTGTTATGCACACTCTGATGCAGGGGCGGATCTAGCACTCAACAAGCCGGTATGGTCGCCCATGCTAGATCTACCTGGAAAAAAGAGTAATGAAGATTGCGTGCGCGCGTTAGGGTAGTTAACATATAACGTCATTTCCTTTCACTATTATAGTGAAAAACATTCTTACCTTTCATTTTTGCAATTTTTACTATTATTTCCACATTTCATTGTATAAAATGTTCTTTTCATCTATCTTCTCAATTAAAGTTGTGAAAATAACGAATATACATTTCTATTTAAATTTTTTTTTTTAAAAAAAGAACTAATTGCAATTATATTCTCTTTTTTTTAAAACAATGCAAACGAGTCCCAAAATTATCAAGGATAATTAACATATAATGTCCATACTTTCACTATTATTGTGAAAAACATCCATATTTTTCATTTTTTTTTTGGCATATTCACCATTAATTACATTTTTGATTGCGCAAATCATCATTTCTATCAATTTCATCCAATTTTATTCAAGTAGAGACGTTTTTCATAATAATAGTGAAATGTAGGGACATTATGAGTTAATTATCATTTTAATAATTTATTTGTGACTCGTTTGTATTTTTTTTAAAATTGGGATTATAATTGCAGTTAGTTAGTTCTTTTTCTTTTGTTTTATTTAAACAAAATAGTATATTCGTCATTTTACAGCTCTTGATTGAAAAAATGGATGAAAATGACATTTTACCCAATAAAATGTGAAAATAGAGGTATATATATATATATATTAGGTGCAAGCAACGTGCAATGCACGTTTGCTTAGTTTATATTTAATAGTTTTGTTTAAAAATTAATTTGTTATTAATAAAGATGTAATTTTTTTGGTTAATTAAATAATTAATGATGTAATGTTTATGTAATTGATAAATAATTAGATGTGTGATTTTGATGTTGTGATGTAAGTTGGTGAGATAGATTGTTGTGATGTAAGTTGGTGAGATCGAAGAAAATAAGCAAAAGTTGACAAATTTGGAGAAATGGCTAAATTGTAAGGGATCCAAAGTTCGGGGACTAAAATGTAAATACTTAAAAGTTGTGCCGAACCTCACGATAAAGATTTGAGAGTGCTCAGAGTTAATTGGATAAAGAAAGACGTCAATGGAATCAAATTTAGTCAAAAGATGATCACAAATCAATTTCCAACCGAAAAGTTATACTCCGATATCTTAGTCTCATATTGAGAACTATTTTTGGTATAGAAAGTGATCGAATTGGAGAATGATGTCTGAATCAAAGTTGTAACCAGATGAGTTAGCTTTCCAACGCATTTTGAATTCAATCGGAGATCGGAATACAACGTTATGATAAAAATACTGAAAGAAGGTGCAGCTGCCTGTTTAAAACAAGAAATTCCGTTACATAGTCCATTAAAACAACAAATTCCGTTAGTTTTTCCGTTAAAAACAAGAAATTCCATTACATAGCCACTTTTAATATATAGAAGATAGATATTAGATGCCAGCAACGTGCTCTTAAAAGTTGTGCCGAACCTCACGATGAAGATTTGAGAGTGCTCGGAGTCAATTGGATAAAGGAAGACGTCAATGGAATCAAATTTAGTCAAAAGATGATCACAAATCAATTTCCAACCGAAAAGTTATGCTTCGATGTTTTAGTTTCATATTGAGACCTATTTTTGGCATAGAAAGTGATTGAATTGGAGAATGATATCCGAATCAAAGTTATAGCCAGATGAGTTAGCTTTTCAACGCATTTTGAATCGCTTCAATCGAATATCGGAATACAAAGTTATGATAAAAACACTAAAAGAGGAAGGTGCAGTTGCCTATTTAAAACAAGAAATTCCGTTATATAGTCCGTTAAAACAACAAATTTCATTATATAGCCACTTTTAATATATATATAAAAGATAATAACATTTTCCATAATAATAATAAAAAATAAGGACATCATGTGATAATCACCTGTATTATTGTATCAAATTTCAATGACAAGGCTTGCAGATCATACAAAAGGGTTTTCACTTTGCATGCGAGATATACAGGTTTAATTTCCTTTGATGGCACTCCTCTTTTTAATTTTTAAACACAGTACATTATAACTAAATATATATTAATAATTGTATTTACTTTTAACAAAAGGGAATGTAGTCAATATGGTAGAGCGATTATTTTGCATGTGAGAGGTATGGTGTTCAATTCCGTGCACTTCAACTTTTTGTTTAATTTTTTAATGCAATAAATAATGACTAAACAATTATATATTATTATTTTTCGTTTTTGAAATAATTTCTTATATATATTGTTAGGTTTTATCAATTTATTTTATAAAATTCAAATTTGGACAATCTAAGTGTTGTTCTTAATTTTTTTAAGAGTTCGAAAAGCACTTTTTATTTTGGGATAAAAAATCGTTCTAGTCCTAAAAATCATTATTTTCAAAATTTTACATAACCTTTGCCTAAGTTTAAAGCTTATCTTTACAGTTTAATCACGTTTTACGTATAAACGTCATTTTGTTTCGCTTAAATTCCTAAAAAACTTGATCATAATTCATACATAGAACATTGAAAAAAATATATATTTTTATTATTATTTTAGATTGTATTAGATTATATTTTCAAATGTCCATTACTTTTACGTTTTAGTGCATTATATATTAATTGAATTTTTAAAATATTATTTATTAAATATTAAAAAATGATTTTACTATTGCATTAACAGCCAACGACCGCCCTAGATCACTCAATATCCTGAATTTGCCACTGACTGTACATGTATCAAAACCCGCAAAGAATTTTCTAAAGAAAAATGGAAAACTGAGTGTTATCCAGCGAAGAGGGTTACGGACAGAAGCATTGCGGCAGCCAATATTTGTGAAAAAGGAAAGAAAATTTCAACGTGCTAGCCAGCCTTTCCTATCCAGTCTCGTGTCCTACATTATATTTTTTGGGCATGGAATTGATTGAGCATTTTATTCGAACACCAGAGACCCAGAACTTGACGGATTCTCTAGAGAAGACAAATGTAGAAAAACTGAACATACATCATTCTTAGTCATAAACAGTAACAAAACGACCAGAAAGAAAATCACGACAAATTAATCGAAAAGCGTTCTCGTTCTTGTTCTTTCATTTTATGCTCAAGTAACACCGACGACTGTGATGCGTCATGTCTCAGCCTCTCGTTCGATGAGTGTTGTAGGATTTGCAGTTTGGACACTTGAGGCCAAGAAAATGAAACTTCACTTCCAAATTGCTTCGACAATCATTGCAGTGAATACAAACCTGAAATCAAAAAGCCATTCACATTCTGCAAATCAGTAATCAATGTAACATGTGCACCTCAAGAAGTGTATTTGCAACATAATTACATGAAATCACTTAATCTAAAAGTTAAAGTTACTAGTGTGTGGACACATTAAATTAAATTTACTTTAGTTTTCACAAGAAGAGTGCGGGTCATATTCTTTTTTTCATCGAAGGTCTAAGAAATCCACAATTTTCATAATGGGTGAGCAACAAGACTTGATCCCGTAACTTTATTTATTAGAGTAATTACTTACTTCAAAACACAACCAAACATGCTTTAGAACCACATCTTTTAATAACTAGGACATATTTAACTTTAGTCTTCATAAAATTTTAATAATGAGTTTAGAAAAAGAGAGACCATCCTCTCTGGGAAGCGAGCTGGCATGGGTGTAGCTGCAATCTCCTCATCAAACTTCTCCCACACCTCAGTCATATCACCCACTGACATGAAGCAAAGAGGGCAAGTATACCTGTAACGAAAACAATCGTAATTTGCAAGTTGTGCTATAAAGCTCAAACAATATAACAATGCTAGGGTTTTCTTAACTCACTGGTTGTACGCCAGCATATCCTTAAAGCATTTGTCGTGCATGGTGTGTCCGCATAATAAACAGACGACTTCATCTCTTGAATCAAAGATGTACTACAAACATTTAGAGTGCTTC